GATGAATGGTTACAATATTACCTGGAACTTTATTAAGTATTGAAATTATGAGTCGGTGGAGTTATCTAATCTAATTTTTCTATTCAATCGTTATTATTTAAAAAAAATGCGGATAATAAATATGAAAATAAGAATGAAAGTAAATGAGTTTTATGAAACTGTTTCGAAATTTTAAAATTATTCTGAGACAAAATTTTCTGTCTGGATATTAATACACTGAAACTGAACAAGTTTGAGAAATTACATTTAAGAGAGAAAAAATCAGGTAACCAAATTGTTAGCTACAGCGAAAAAGTTCATCAAATACAATAAAGACTAGAACAAAAAAAAGAAAACCAGCCGCAGTAGCAGCACAAACCCTCCTGCAGTTCGGCCATATTCATAGTATAGTTCTCAATTAGAATTTCATTGCCTTCTTCTACAATGACCCCACAAGTAGGACGTTCACTTGAATCTTTACGATATTTGGCCGTTATTGTAACAGACCCTTTGTAAATTATTTTCTCATTGTTTAGACGAGTTCTGCTATGCTTTCCAAATGCCGATAGCCACAACATTTTAATTTTCGCAACTTCACTCGGGAACATAACGGATACGGAACAGGTCAGGACAATTTCCTTGCCCAGCCAGACTGGACCGTCAGACACGTCTATTGTGAAGTTGTTGGCTGTTTGGACGCATCAATGGTTGGTTTTAACATAAGTGATTGTACATAAATAACGCAATTTATAAACAGTAATGTCAAACGTATACTTAATTAAACAATATCTGCGAAATTATTGTGCAAAGTTTTAAATGTAAATACATGAGCGCAATCCAGCAGTTTCAAATATTGGGAGGTGTGCAAATCTCAATGGACAAATTTAAGCAGACATTGTATGCGGACAAGGTGATTTAATATAAAGAATATTTATTGTGCCTCTCACCAGTAGGCCAAAAATCAAAGTTTACTGGCTTGTATTTTGTCAGATCAAGCGATCAACCAACTAAAAACAACTTACAATTATAAGGGCATTTTTTAGAGCCATTTATTACGAGTGAAGACCTGATGTCAGTGTTTTGGATCGAACAGTTGCACCTGTACTGACCAAACCAATGCAGATACAACAGATCATTTACAGTCCTGTAAAACAATGGCCCATTGGCTTCACTTATATTTGTGTTCCTATACTGAAAGCAGACCCAGACATAAAAGTTAATAGAGACGTTAGATCCTGAGCACCTATATGCTGCTCCATCCACGCATTCTCTGCCAGCGTTGATCATTGTCGAAAACAAGGTGGCAGTATTTCCTAGATTAGCTGGATTAGGTTTAAATATTTTTAGTCCAAAATTTATTTGAATATTTCAAAAGTGTTTGTATTTAAATAGCGTAATGGTTGAGCGCGTTTCATTGCAAGTTGCACTGGCCTGGTTCTATTGCGAATGAACTCCTGAATGTCGTCAGCTGTGCGTGTTTTTCTCCAGTGACAGTGACGCCTTCGAGTGAGTGATGCAGAGAGAGTAAGAGAGAATGGAAAAAACAAATGTTTCTTTACCAAGAAATGCTTGCAAATATCTCAATGTAAAAAACAATGATAACTAACGCCAACACGCACACTCACCCATTAATACGTGCACAGGACAAAAACTGTTAAAAACAGAACTTCAGCAGACAATGCAAACTCAATAATTTTTTTCCAATTTATTTTAAGAATGTAAACAATACTCACCTGTTAAATTAACCAAAAATTTAGAATGATAAACGAAATTTGCGAAATCTCCATATAATTCGATCGTGCAAATTATCTCCTGCAAGCCAGGCGTACTATAATATAAGGTAGCGTCGCAATTTTGCTTTTCATACGATAAATGAAGTTCAACAGTGTTAGAAGCTACTTTTTCGCCATTGGCAGTGATTGACATTTTTGAATGCGCTTTCCCGTGGAGTGCTCGGCCCACAGAAATGGAGTACATGCATCTAACTTTCACAAAGTCTGCGTCCGATGATAGATTTGTCTTCGAAAGAACTATCGTCGGTCGTTGGACTGAATTGTTTAATTTATGAGAGTATGTTGTCTTATTAAAATGATTGTTATAAAAATAAATTTAAATGAATGTTATTAAAACAGTTATATAAAATCAAAAAATTACCAAAATTCACTAAGATGAATTTTTTAGAACAATTGGCATTCGTATAAAGGCCAAGCGGAATCGTCCATGGATTCACCGAATTTCCGGCCTTTTTAAAAAGTTTATTTTCGAAAGTCGATTCAGCATAGAGCCATGCGTTGACAGCACAGTTGCTACTATTATAAAAATCCCAAAAGATGTCATTCAAACTTCTTACACTGCTGAGTGCTTCAATGGGTAGAGCGGAAGCATCAGTGCAGCAGCTGATATCTTCGTTTATTTCGTAATTTGGGAAAAATTATGTGTCAATTTAAGAAATAAAATTTAATAATAATTAATCATAGATAGCGGTAATAATTTGATGAGAATCATAGTAATTTTGATCAAAATTGGGTCTATGTTAACGTCACAAAAAATATTTAAGAATGAAGACAAGTGTACATTCAACTATTGTAATTTCTTTTTTAATTTTTTGCTCTCTTTCTCCCTGTCTTTCTCTCTATTCTTACATAACATAACAAAAATTTTTTTATTGTGATCCAAGAAGATTAAGTCTGTGACAGGACCACTCTGAGACTTTTTTTTAATTTCCAACCTTTGCCAAGTTTGCTTTAAAGTTGTTAGTTGTTTCTGCGCATATTATTTCATCTCCTAGTTTGTTCCACTAGTTGACAAAAATTTTTGCTTTATCAATTCAGAACTTTTTTTAAGATCTTACATTTATGCTCCTTTGTTTTACTGTTCATCTTAAGTTCGAAAAATTTTGCTGACTCCAAATTCTCCTTCATAATGATGATTTTGTATACCTGAATCAAATCTCCACTTGTTCTTTTTTTTTCTAATGTTGTCAATCCACAAACTTTTAATCTGTCTTCAATGGCATACTGCGACATTCCATTATCATTCTCGTTGCCCTCCTTTGAATATTCTCGAGCATATGTTTGTTTTTTTGTAAATCTGGATTCCAAAACTGTTCACAGTACTCCAACTTAGATCGAACCAATGCTTTATATAGGTCTAATATGACTATCATATCTCTGCTTTTTACTGTTCTATTTATCATATATAGAACCCCGTTTGAATTATAACCTCTAAATTCTTTTTCCTTTCTACATTTTTTGGTGGTGAGTCTCCAAGTTTGAATAAGTATGCCTTGTTGTTCGCTCCCATATGCGTGACTGCACATTTGTTAGTGTTGAATACCATCTGCCAATCCTCTGCCCACTTGTATATATTTTTCAAATCGCATGCTAGAATTTCAATATCTTTATCGTTGTCTACGACAGCATATAATTTAGTGTCATGTGCAAATTTTAAAATTTTAGACTTTATTCCTAGATCAATATCATTAATGTATATTACAAATAGCAACGGTCCTAATACGAATCCTTGAGGAACCCCACTTGTAACATTGCTCCAACTTTTTGCCGTCTATCTTATAACCAGTTAGAAATCCACTTGAGTGTTTCCTGTGATCCCATTGGTCTTTAATTCTAAGACAAACGATTATACGGTACTTTATCGAAAGCCTTAGCAAAATCTAAGTACACAATATCCACTGCTTTCTTTTTGTCAAAATTTTCATAAGCCTCTTCAAAAAAGTCGGGAAAATTTGTTAGGCACGAACGATTATTCATAAATCAGCGTTGGCTCTTGTGTATGATATCGTTGTTCGCAAAGTGGTTCACATCTATCTTCTTAATTATTCTTTCTACTACCTTGCATGCAATGCTTGTAAGGCTAACTGGTCTCTAGTTTCCTGAGTCGCAACGATCTCCTTTTATGAAGAGTGGCACTATGATTGCATCTTTCCAATCTGATGGTACTTCACTCATTGCCAACGATTTATTGAAAAATGTTTAAAAATTTCTGGATTGAAGCTGTCGCTTCAGGGGCTTTTATCATCTTTTAGTTTTTGCAGTTCATCAACTATTTGTTGTTTCGTAATTGTCGCATCAGCTAAGACTATCATTCCATTTCCATTAAACTTACTGCTGGATTTTGGCAGTTATTTAAAAATCTCCCTTGTAAATACAGAACTAAAATAAGAGTTAAGTATATCTGACATTTTTTGGTGGTCATCAGTAACGACGCCATTCTCAGTTCAAAGGCGTTTTATCCTGTTTTTGCATTTTTGCCTACTCCTCCGTAACTGAAAAAACTTTTACTATTAATTTTGATGCTATCCGCTAATTTTGTCTCAAATTTCAATGGCCTCTTTATTAACACAAATAAATTTCTGTCTTTTTTGCTTAAATTTGTTTTATAGCTGCTGCATTCGGATTGATTCTCTTGAATTTGCTGGCTTGTTACATTTACGGTTTTTGAACTCTTGATATACTTTCCATGCCTTGTATTTACTCGTCTTTTCTTTTGTACTTTTTCTGTAATCCAAGGCTGCTTTTTGATCGATCCCTCATACTGCGGAACATATTCAGAAACCAACTTGTTCATTGTTTTCAGGGATAAATTCCAGCCTTGCCGCACTGCTTCGATTGATTTAGCCAGGTTCAGTTCCCGGAGTTTAATTTTTATTCGGTCATAGTTTGCTTTGAAATAATTGAATCTATTCCATTTGTTGTTAATTTGATCTGGTTGTTCCCATTTTAACTTGAATCAATATAATTTGATGGTCACTGGATAAAAAGTTCTCTCCAACTTATACAGGGCTATCATTGGATAAGATGACTTGGCTTAAAATATTGCTTTCCCTAGTTTCCTCTTCTGTCTCTTATTTTGCTTTCTCAGTGTTTATTAAAAATTATTAAAACGAGCATTAATTTTCGCACATTGAACCATATCGAATGCTTACCGACGCCAAAGAACAGAGCAACGATAATAATTGCCCATGTATAAAAACCAGGCATTCTTTATCATAAATAACTAATAATTATTATTATTATTGTTATTATTATTTATTTATCATTGCCAGATTATTATTATTCATAACTGAAAGCAAAGACATTTAAATTTTCAATTTAGTATTGCGTTTTTTTTTCAAAAACCCGGATAAATTTCAATCATAAAAACAATAATATAATTGATTATTATTATTAATATTTATTATTATATAATAATAAAAAGTAAAATAATAATTATTATAACTATTAATTATTAATATAAATTACTATTTTTATTATTATTAATCTCGCGACTTGTTTGCATTTTCCCATATTCCGACGGACATGTTTTGGGGTTAAAATGCTAACAGTAATAAACATAGTAACAAAATAATAATAATAACAAAACAAATAATAATAATAAAATTAATAATAACAATATTAATAATTTTTTAGGAGACCTTTTTCTTCGCTATAACCATCTCTTGTAGATTATTCTACTAGAAGAGCCTGAATGGATGAATGGTTCAACATCAGTTCTGGGGAGATATATGGACAGACATAAAATAAAGTACTGGTGCTGATGATAGAGGAGTTGAGGTTACAGGCTCCAAATGACTGCTGTTTATTTGCGAATTTGGAAATGAAAGGCATCCAATGTCATGCCTTTTCAACACGCTACGCCCGGACATTGCCATTTTGCGGGGAACAAGATTGAGGTATTCTAGTTGACTATATGCCGTGAAACTAATCCATTTTAGTCAAAACAAAACAAACGACAAAAACATCTAAATTTAAAGGCATATCTAAATAATTGTTCTACAATAACTAATAGCACGTTCGAATTGTCTACAATAACTTTAATTTATCGCTATTTAAATTTTCATGGCCAATTTCTTTTAATTTTAAACTAATAAACAGTGCTCTTAGCTCGTAATATGCAATTTACTGTAAGAGAAAGATTGCTTAATGCTGTTTAAATATAACTCTTACAACCATACACTTATCAATGACAATAAGGATGAGCGGATCGTACATTTGATTCGATTGGATTATTTTATTTATTTTTTTTTAAAAACATTTTATTACAATTTATTCTCATTATTAGATTTTAACTTTCGAGAAACAAAAGAGGCGATATTATCATCATCATTATATTGTTATTATTTGGCGATATTTATTCATGAAAATGCTGAAAAAAAGAATGCTTTGCTCCAATTTAAATAAAGAACTTGAACGTTGTTGAAAATATAAAATACAAATAAATGAATAAATAAATGATAATAATAAAAACAATTAAGAATTGCAATAATAACAAATAATAACAATTATTATTATTATTGTTGTTATTATTTTTTCATTTATTTTTTGACTTTGTAACTGGAATGCTGTTTATCTAAAAATAAAAAGTTAAAAATAAAATAATAATAATTATTATTATTATTTATAAATAATAGGGATAGTAATAAATAATAATAATAATATTTTTAGTAACAATAATAATAATTATTATTATTATTTTATTACGCTGGAGGTCGGCTGCGTTAAATCTTTGTTTGTGCTGGAGCTTCAAAAGACTCTATGCGAAGTTCTTACTTTCATCTACGTAGAACAAAAAACTTTTGCCTTTTCTTGACGATCCTACCTTCGCCTTGTTACTTCTTTAGTTTTATCTAAGATTGATTATTGTAAATCGCTCTACCATGGTCTTCCTTATTCTACACTCTATCCTATAAGTAAAGCTTTTAACTCTGCTGCTCGTCTATTGTTCGTGCCCCTTTTTTTTCTTCATATCTTCTCTCTTACACTAGCTTTCTATAATAGATAGAATAATTTTTAAAATTCGAATATTTATGTATGAGTCTCAATCTTAATTATTTCCTAAGCACTTATCAGATACATTAATTGAACCTAAACAAGCCGGTTTACGATCGTCTTCTTGTTCTCACTTCTTCTTAACTCGTGTTAAACACTTTTGCTAAATCTGCTTTTACTTTTTCTGGCCCTTTTCTTTGGAGCTCTCTACCTACTTCTCTGACTACTTCTCCATCACTTTCGAAGTTCAGAGCAGATCTCAAGACCCATCTGTTTGCAAAATTTATTGAGGAGCGCTGTTGAACATCGTGGAAATAGCGCTTTATAAACTAAATGATTTATTGCTAATCATTTATTTATTACGGAATAATAAAAATAACAACAATTTATAATTAAAAAAAAGTTAAATGATAGTAATAATTAACATGAATAATGATGACTGTAAATATGACAATGATATTATTAATAAATTTTATTAAAGTAACATGATAAAATGAATTACTGTCAGCCTTCTTATTTGAAGCTGTTTTAATAATACTTCCCCCTTGTAAAAATATTATTATTATTAATAGTTGTAGTATTAGTAATAGTAGTAGTAGTGTTGGTAGTAGTAGTGGTAATAGTGGTAGAAATAGTAGCAGTATTAGAATTGTAATTGAGAATCAGACTTATCACATTACCAATGCTAGACGACAGCTCTGATGAAAAAATTATTGTTATTATTATTAACGTTATCATTATTTTATTATTATTTGTATTAATATAAGAAGTAGTAGTAATAGTAATAGTAGTAGTAGTAGTGGTGGTAGTAGTAGTAGTAGTAGTGGTGGTAGTAGTAGTAGTAGTAGTGGTGGTAGTAGTATTTTATGAAAATTTTTTTAACCATCTTTTGAATGCCCTTGAACGTAACGGAAAAAAGTTATAAACCATTTATTTATTTATTATAGAATAATAAAAATAACAACAATTATTAAAAAAAGTTAAATGATAGTAATAATTAATATGACTGTAATTATGACAATGATATTATTAACAAATTTTATTAAAGTATGATGATGAAATAGATTACTGTCAGCCTTTTTATTCGAAGCTATTTTAGTAATACTTCCCCCTTGTAAAAATATATTTATTATTAATATTTGTAGTATTAGTAATAGTAGTGTTGATAGTAGTAGTGGTAATAGTAGTAGTAGTAGTAGTAGTAGTAGTAGTAGTAGTAGTAGTAGTAGTAGTAGTAGTAGTAGTAGTAGTAGTAGTAGCGGTATTAGAATTGTAATTGAGAATCACACTTATCACATTACCAATGCTAGACGACAGCTCTGATGAAAAAATTATTGTTATTATTATTAACGTTATCATTATTTTATTATTTTTATTATTGTTATTAATATAAGAAGTAATAGTAATACTAGTGGCGGTAGTAGTAGTGGTGGTGGTAGTAGTATTTAAGGAAAATTTTTTTAACCATCTTTTGAATGCCCTTGAACGTAACGGAAAATAATTATAAACCATTTATTTATTTTTCACAGAATAATAAAAATAACAACAATTAATAATGAAAAAAAATTAAATGATAGTTATAATTAATATGACTGTAATTATGACAATGATATTATCAACAAATTTTATAAAAGTAAGATGATGGAATAGATTACTGTCAGCCTTCTTATTCGAAGCTGTTTTAGTAATACTTCTCCCTTGTAAAAATATTATTATTATTAGTGTTATTAAAATTTGTATGGGTAGTAATAGTAGTAGTAGTAGTGGTGGTGGTACTAGCAGTAGTAAAAGTAGTAGAAGTAGAAGTAGCAGTGGAGTGGTAGTAGTAGTAGCAGTATTGGTATTTTAATCGAGAATCACACTTATCACATTACCAATGCTAGACGATTGCTCTGAAGAAAAAAATATTGTTATTATTATTATTATTCAATTGTTAATTTTGGTAATGACTATTTAATCATGACTATTTCTCTATTAATTAATTAATTAATAATTGACTTTACGCATTTGATGAATAATAAAAGATCTGTTCCTATTATTGATTTCAGTTCCACGCTCGCCTTCTTATTTTGGTTAATTATTATGATTAATTATTATAATTAATAATTATGGTTTATAATTATGAATAATTATTGTAGTTAATTATATTTTCAAATATAATTTTTACTCGAATGTCTCCGTTCAGCTGTTTTTGTTCGTTTGAAAAGAAAAACATTCAAAAGTTATTGTTTAAATAGGTGACCCAAAACGTTCGGTCAGTCAACCAATGAATGAATGAATGAATGAATAAATGAATGAATGAATGAATGAATGAATGAATGAATGAATGAACGAACAAACGAACGAACGAATGAATGATAAATTGATGGACGAATAAACGAAAAAATTAAAAAAAATTAGAATATAGGGAAAGATTAATCCTACATCCTATCACGGTTTTCCTTCGTCCTGTAGAAAATAGATGTATCATGACGACTATAATTTATTATAATTAAAAACGTTTCATAATTATCATAATAATATAGATAATTATAATAATTAGGGTAATAAATGGTGATAAAAATAGTGAAATTGAACAGTGACCAGGTTCGAAAGCAAGAAGATCTCCGCCTTTTACATGTAATTCACGCATATTTACTCACACTGGGCGTGTGTGTTTGAGTGAAAGTTTGTGTGTGTGTACGTGCGATTGTGTGTGTGCGTGTGCGTGTCTGTTGATAAATAACACATTTTTATTATGAACTTGATAACCGACGACGATGAATGTTTATAATAATAATAATAATAGTAATAATAATGGCTATGAATAACAAAATTACTTGAAAAATGCATCTTTCTGATTCCTTTATTTGGTTGTTAAGTAAATAACAATAATAATAATCATCATAATAATAACAACAACACCATCAACAACAGCAACAACAACAATAACAACAGCTGAAAGCAAATGGCATCGTTTTTAGGGTGATAAAAGGGTGTCGGAATGGAGCAGTTTTGCTGGGATGTCAACTGAAGCCACCAGACATTAGATTAGATTGAATTGGGACAACGAAAGCGGATCTCGCTCGATGCAGAGGATTGTAGGAAAAAATTTGCTGAAAAAATGTCCGGGCTAAAATATGAAGAAGGATTGGCGCTTAGTCCGCTCTAAATCAGAAGAACTTCACTACAACGAAAACACAAATTACCTAAAATAATGGAGTGTTCAGAAAGGGAAGATCGGTCCGCATCATGGAGGCGAAAAAATGAACCAGGCGCCATGCATGGAAAATGTAAGTATGAGGTAGTGATTCATACTGATGGTTAAGTTGGTCACGACACAAAATACAGAGGCGCAGCAATATGCGTAGTCGAAAAAGATGCCACCCCTCACAGCTGGGCCTCTTCTAAAGACAACTAAAACAACTGCAACAACAACAACATTAACAATAACAACAACAGCAATAATAATAATTATTATTATCATTATTACTAATTTTCTTACCTCCTATCAAGGATTTATTATTAGTTTTAACTTGAGGTTCGACATTCGTTGCCTCTTTATGGTGCTCTGTAACGAAAAACAAATAATAATAATAATAATAATTATTATTAGTAGTAGTAGTAGTAGTATTGTAATTAATACTTGGTCTAGCACTTCTACTTTTTATGCGTTGGCTAGACGCTGGTTTGTCTAAAAAAATGATAAATATTGTAATAATAAGTCCAGCCATTCATTCATTCATTCATTCATTCATTCATTCATTCATTCATTCATTCATTCATTCATTCATTCATTCATTCATTCATTCATTCATTCATTCATTCATTCATTCATTCATTCATTCATTCATTCATTCATTCATTCATTCATTCATTCATTCATTCATTCATTCATTCATTCATTCAATCATTCATTCATTCATTCATTCATTCATTCATTCAATCATTCATTCATTCATTCATTCATTTTTTGAAAAATTGAATTAGCAAATAACCTTGTGCAATTTCAACTGTCGCTAAAATGAATTTGAAATTCGTTCGTTCATTCATACGTTCATTCATTCGTTCATATGTTCATTCATTCAATCATTCATTAATTCATCCATCCATCCATTCATTCATTCATTAATTAATTCATTCATTCATTCATTCATACCTAGATACATACATTTATTCATTCATTAGTAAAAAAAATAAAACGATTAGTTTTTGTAAATTTTAAAATTAATTCAACAAAACTCAATATTTTTGATTGTACAGATGTTTTCATGTATGCCACCTCACCCTTATATACAAAGTATTATACGAATGTCGGGATTAATTATTCGTTATATTATATGTTAAGCTGCTTTATGTCTGTAACACAGCTCCCTCGTCGTTAATTACTCTTATAACTTGACTATCGTTATGATTACATACATACTTTAGCACACCCACACACACACACACACACACACACACACACACACACTTATATATATATATATATATATGTTGGTAATAGACCATAATTTTTACAATATTCTATAAATTCTACGGAATGTTTGGCGTTAATATGTTTTTCGAAAAATAAGTTTATTTTAGATTTTTAATAAACTAAACGTTCACCAAAAAACTTTAGTGAGAAAAATCGAAAAAACGAACTACAAAACGCCAAACATTCCGTAGAATTTATAGAATATTGTAAAAACATATATATATATATATATATATATATATATATATATATATATATATATATATATATATATATATATATTTTATGGTCT